AAACGTCTTAACTCTCTCGTACTTATTTTTCCTGTACCAGCAATATTTCTACCTCTTGCATTACATGGTTCGTTCTATCCTTGCCTTCTTTTCTACGTTCTTCACATTACTTTCATGCTACAATCATGCGATAATCAGATTACCATCGAAACAATTGAGCGAGTCGCAGAGGTCTGGCTCTCTGAGTGGCACAGTTTAGCTGGAACTCGTCAATATGATGATAATTTATGACTTTATGGCTTGCTTTTGTATCAGCTCTGTGTTATTCCTTAGTGGTTGCCACCAGCAGCCTCTCAGATATATTGTTTGGAAAATGCATTTCAGGTTAATGCGTGAAAAGTGCTTAATAATTAGTAAATTCGGCTTATCGTCACATTTTTGCATTTTCATCAGTGACTTTTTTTCATAAAAGATTTTTCTGATGAATTTCAGAATTTCAGACTTTTAAGAATTTGATGAATTTTAGGCGGCAAAATTACCCCATGCATGTCATTTCCAGTTTGGTCCAAAAAAATCTTGATTAGCTTTGAGACTGGAAATTTTTCAGAGGCAACAAAGTCAGATGTGCAGTCATTTATGCTTGGATTCGAGCAGGCTTCCAAGTCACTCCACGCTGAACTGGCCAAGTTTTTCTGCAGGCCTAATAATTCAGAGGTTTTTCACATTTTTTTTGATTTCATATGCCTCATTATTTGAAGAAGTCAGCAGCACTGCATGCACGCGATTCTGTAAGTTATTTTTCAGCTCAGCACGAGCCGTTCAATCGTTCAGTTTCTCGAAAATGTCAAGAAACTTTCCGAGGAAGCGGATAATTCCTTGCAGAAAATGTATACACAGCATAACAAGTTGTCCAATTTTGTACTTGATCATGTGAGTTTTGGCATTTTGCCTAATGCGGTTATAAGTTTGTGAAGTTACTTCCAGTGGAATTACCGCTTTTTCGAGTGCTTCTGGCTCTTATGGAAAGCAAAGTAGGTGGAGGGGGAGACATGTCTGTAGGGTTTTAGGAACTGGAAATCGTAGAAAAGCAATGTTTCCAAAGAAAATTTGTTTCAGGTGGAAAATTATAAACGATTAACAGAAACTCTTTGTGCGGTGAATAGTGACTACAGCAGCGTATCGATTGGCCTGGCAGAGGAACTGAAGAGTGCGGTTAGTTATAACTCGCGTTTTCCTGACCTTGACTTGACCCTATTCTGGCAAGATGTTCCAGCAAAATTTTATCCTAAAATCTCCAAGGACTGTAAAATTTCTGGTCCCATTAATAGGAAGGAAGTGGATTAGCTTTTATTAGT